TTATTGAAAAAAAAAACATATATATTTTAATATCTAAAGTCAAGATTGCTGTGCTACCAAAATCTTTCATGCATTACCAAACTGAAGAGATACGTAGGTGCAATATCGTTATCTAATTATTAAAAAATGGTAAAAACATATGGATTTTACAATACAAAATTATAACTTCATGATATTCATCTTTTCTTAAGATTTAAAAATTAATATATAAATCTCGATTATAAATGTATATATTGTTGTTTGGTTATGTGCAATATTTTCAAATGTTATTTAAAGATCGAAATGGAGCATGATTGGTGCTATGAAATTTAATAGTAAAGTGTTGACAATGTCATTTTCATGCTGACATACCAGCTGTTGTTTAATCGATTGGTACATAGCTCTTGTTTTTTAAAAGGTTTGGCGCATAACTCTTGTTTTTAATGATTAACAAGTTATTTATTAAAAATATAAAATTTTGTAGATCCATTTTATATAATCAAAGACAATTTGGTATATTTGAAGAAATACAGTTTAAAGTACTTCTTCATAAATGGGTTCGGTTTAGATTTTATGTAAAATCATTGTCATGATCGTAGGATCGTACGATCCTACAATTCCACCTAAGTAAATCGATCACAGTCTTATTTGGATTGTTTTTCAATAGGCTTGCGGTAGTATCGTAAGATCATACGATTGTTAATATATATATATATATATATATATATATATATATATATATATATATATATATATATATATATATATATATATAGGACTAGGTTAATGTGTTTATTATATTTATTGTGCTAGAATGTACCAATAGAAATTTAGTAATATTAAATAATTATTTAATTAAATAAAGATAGATATTAAATAATTTTCATAATTGTATGTATATTAAATGATATCCATAATTATAATTCTCTTTTTATAGAAAATAATTAAATTTGTCATTAATATCATCAATAACATTCTTTCAGAATGAATTCGTATCTAGGTTTTTATGTATATGTTCGTTTTTTGTTTCAGTACTCACTAACTTAAAATACAATAAAGTTGTATAAAATATGAAAAACGATAGTGCATTCTAATAAAATACACTCTCATTATTTTAGATACGAATTCATTCTGAAAGAATATTATTGTTGACATTAATGACGAATTTAATTAGTTTCCATAAAAATGAATTATAAGTATGGATATCATTTAATATACATATATTTTTTACTAAATTCTTATTGGTGCATTCTAGCACACAATAGATGTGAGAAACATTTGAACTTATCTCTCTCTCTCTCTCTCTCTCTATATATTATATATATATATATATATATATATATATATATATATATATATATATATATATATATTTGACGAACAAAATAAATGAATCAAAAATAACATGATTCACAAAAAAAAATTCAAAAAAACATCTCGATGATTCATTTATACAATGATTTTGTTGTTATTCACTAAAATTGTCATAATAGTGAATTTTTTCTTAATTTACTTAAAAATGAATCATAAATATGTTTTTTTAGGAATTTTTTTTTTGAATCATCTTACAAATGAATCATTTAATGATTCATTTTGTTTGTTCGTTAAAAAAATATGTAGAAAAAAAAAACTTCTTACCTTCCTACTAAAAATTTCCTTCTTATTTGATCTTGACTCTCTCTCTCTCTCTCTCTCTCTCTCTCTCTCTCTATATATATATATATATATATATATATATATATATATATATATATATATATATATATATATATATATATATATATATATACAAACACATTCCATGTGCATGAGTCAAACTAGAAGAGTGGTCAAGTCACATGCATAAAGACTTGGTCATATTCAATTGCCACTAAAAGTTTATTGCATTAGGTTAGGACTCACGATTTAATTCCAGTATGCATGTTCTCCTTAATTTTAGTTAGCAAGTAGGTTTAGATTTCTATAAATTGTAACCCTGCATTTTGATTAAGAATTAAGCAGAAAATTGTCTCAATATTGTCTTGTTTATCTATCTTTCATCTCTAGTTTCTACAGGGGACTCGTCATCCAAATTATTGGATGTATCAATATATATATATATATATAGATATATATATATATATATATATATATATATATATATATATATTCTTGGTCTAACTACATAATATAACCTTTTTGTATTATTTATCATTAAATAATGTATTAGAAATATTTTTTTTTATGTTTTAATGTATTTATTGTTAACTGATGGACGAATATGTATTTTTTATGTTCTAAAATGTTTTTGGTAGGATCTTACGATCCGATTCGATTTTACGATCACTATCTTACAGAACAAAAAACGATCATATATTAGATTTTGATCTTAATAACCTTGATTTACCCATTCATTTGAATCAAATTTGAAAGGGTAAACAAGGCATTTGAGTGTTTACATTAACAGGTTTTACAAGCAATATAAAAAAAATAATAAAAAAAATACAATGTTTTAGAACAAGAAATTACAATGGCTTTTACAACCAATATAGGTTGTGGGGAAATGTTAGTCGTTATTTTGTGAAATTACAAAAATGCTTGGAGTGGGATGCAAACCCTAAACCAATTTGTTGTAGTAATTTTGCCAATTTATTTTAACCAAATGTGGGGTAAACCAATATATGTGACACTCACGTTGTTATTATTGTTAGAGCATTCTTTAACATTTTAATTTTTTTTTTTGTTTTGTTAAATAAGTTTCTATTATATTTATTATATAAAAAGATCAAATGTTTAACTCGATCTGAACTCCTGGAAGAGAGATGTAGGAATCTCTTTGTTGAACATGTTTGCGTACTTTGATGAGGATGGGACATGAAGAACATGAATATGTCCTATGACCACCTTGTCACGAACAAAATGGACGTCGATTTTGATGTGTTTGTTTCATTGATGTTGGACCAGATTGGTCGATGTGTAGATTGCACTAATGGTATCACAAAACACAAGAGTGGTTTTCGTGAGCAGAAGCTCACTAAGAAGGCTACGTAAACATGTTTTTTTTTCTGTAACTACGTTTGCACTAATGTTATCAATACATCCCTAGACATCGCACAATGATTTTATATTTACCAAAATATTTTGTTGCTACCACTTAAATATCCAAATTTGATGATTCTTCGACAATTACATAAATAATAAGCATAGTGTAGGGATATAAAGCGGTTTGGAACTAGCTTGAACCGAAGTGGAACTGGAAGAATCGAAAATCGTTTAAGGAGTGAATGAGGAACCAAAAACCAGACCGAATATAACTAACTGGTTCCAACCAGTTTCGGTTCGGTTTTACTAGGAAATGTGTTATTTAAAAAGGTGTTCGGTAGTAGAATCGGCCGAATCGGACCGGAACTAAAAGAATCAAAAATCAAAACTTATGGATTAGAGGAATCGAAAACCTGACCGAATAGTACCAATCGGTTCATGTTTCGGTTCATTTTTTCGGTTAAAAAGTTCATCCCTAACATAGTGGGTTGCTTTATAAATTGGAAATTCGTCTAAACCATGATGTGTCGGTACTCATTAAACCGAGTGACCGTGAAGAATAACTATTTTGATAAGTCGGTAGCGTCGAGACAGATGCTCGTGATTCATAACTTGCGTCTCAAGTCGAGTATTTATTAACATATATATTATAAAACTGTTTAATATAATGTTCAAAAAAATTTATATTTCTGTTTATTTCAATTTCATTTTGAACCATAAGTTGACTGATAATAGTTATACTCTCAATTACACCTTTAAAATTTACAAAAAGATTTACTGTTGAATGAATCATGAAAATTTTATGAAAAAATGTCAATAGATTTTATAAGTGTTGTCATTTCTTCAATAATAACATCTGATTGGGCATCTAACAAATTCAAGTCATGTAATTGTTATTGTCACAGACAATGGTGTAGTTTAAGAGAATATTAGATAGTGTGTCGTCATTCTAAAAAAATCTAACGTATCTAAACCATCAATGTTTTAAATATTTCACAAATATTAATTAAGACAACGTTAGATGTTGGAAAATAAGTTTGTGATAACATCGTTGTTGCTTGATAATATTTAGAACGGCTTACACATGCACACACTACTTTACTCTTAAATTTACACATTTCGTCCACAATGAAGACATGAACGCTCAACCTTTGGCTCATTGGCTGAGAGACATTTATCCGTAAACTCCAGAAACTCCAGTCCGACTCGTGAAAGAAAAAAAAAGTCCAATCAATCGGGGTATTTTCGTCTTAGGGATAGTAGGGAAGATGCTCTTTATAGTTGTAGAGACCGCTCTACACGGACCGTTTTATTGTCGTTACATTCAAAAAATGACCGTTGAGTTGGATCCAGATCCGGATCTGGATCCGGATCCGTATGTGGATTCAGACCACCTTAGACCAACTCTAACTAGGTTTCTAGATCGGTCCAAGACCGAAACGATCCGTCTTTGGACCAACTTGAGACTGCAATAAGACCATTCAATACGTACATGATATCAGAGACCAACACGATACCATGGGTCTAAATTAGACCAAGACCAAACAGTCCTAAACCACTCCAGTCTTGACTTTTCTTTTTCCAAAATCACTGTGAGCCAGGCGTTATTATCATCTAGCATAACCCCATCCTGTTTGATGTCCCCACCACAACAAACCCTACGTTGTTGTCTCATCAATTCATAAATATTAATACAACGTGAATTTTGGACAGTGCATTAAGAATACGTGTACAACAAATTGTGTAAGTTTTTACGATATTTCTTATAGAAAGGTAAATTGTTCGGTTTATTAGGAAGGTTGTGATATGCAATTACAAAAACTAGAGTAAAATAAATTGTATCACCAAATAATTAAAAACAACTTTTGATAATATACCTAGGAAATTAGGAATGTGATTAAAACATTCTTTAAGAAATGTGATTCGTGGATATTAGTTAAGCATGTCACCAGTTTTCTATGAATTAACTAATTAGTAATTACTAATTAATGGAAAGTTTCATGGATTTTGACAAGTGTCACAAGTTTGTTACGATCAGAATTATCTGAGAGAAATTTGTTATGATCAGAAAATCTCTCTCCGTCACCCTCCTTCCCCCCGTCGCCACCTACAACCTACTTGCATTAACTATCTCCGCCGCCGCCGATCACCAATAAGTCGCTGTTATATATTCAATTGTGCGATTAGAGAATGGAGCCGGAGAAATTTATAGTAGAGGTTGAGCCGGCGAAAGAGGCGAAAGATGGAAAGCCGTCTATGGGACCTGTTTACCGTAGTGTGTTCGCTAAAGACGGTTTTCCGCCTCCGATTGATGGTTTGAATTCATGTTGGGATATTTTCCGGTGAGCGTTTATTTAGATTTGCACTTTTTTCGTTGAATTATGTATTTGATAAATCTGCTTATCGTTTCAATTAACGTAGACGGATCAATGTGATCGTGCATGTCGTTCGTTACGATTGATGTCATATACTTGCTTCATAGTAATAAAATTTCGAAGCACATTACCTAGATTTCATTCCGAGGATGAGTAATTTTGGACAAACCGTAGACACAAATGCAAATAGGCCATGGTTCTAAGCATCTTTTGCACAACCTCATTCTTCCTAACCTAATGTTTGCATTGCATTTGGCAAGAAGTACGGTTTATGAGAATCGAAAAGCTAGATGAGATGATATGAAACGTCAACAAATCTTTCGATTTTGTAAAGAACTTGGAACATCATATGGCATTCGTGATTTGAAATTGGATTTGGAGCCTCTTGTATCAAAAACTTTTTTTCTCCTACATTAGTGCTCTAATATGCATTTAGTTGAACTTGGCATAACTAATCTGTGACTCTATATTAAGGTTTTGACTTGATACACTTTCAAACCGATTGATTGAAACAAGGAAAGTTGTGAAAATGCATTAATACTGGAATTCTAGATAGCTTGTTCGAGTCCTTTTCTACACCTGTATAGTATATATGCCAACCATATAAACTAGAAACACCTTTGTACATATAATGAGAGTTGTATGCCCTTTCTTTTAGGATCTTTTAAAATGTTTGTTTGGACATGTTGCAGCCTTGCTGTGGAGAAATATCCGGATAACAAAATGCTTGGGACCCGTGAGTTTGTCAATGGAAAGGTATAATACTTCAACTGTAATCATGATACTGTTCTCTATCTGTCAGAGTGTGAGATTTTAATTTTTATGTTTCTGTCTTTCAATTGGCAGCATGGGAAGTATGTGTGGTTGACTTACAAACAAGTATATGACAAAGTGATACAGCTTGGGAATGCTATACGTGCTTGTGGAGTTGAGCCAGTAGGTGACCTTCACCTTCCTATTATAGTTTCTAATTCTATAACACATTCTGGGATCTGTATTTCATTCCATTTACTTATATGTTCATGCTTGCTTACAATTACAAACATTAATTGGTGATGTTAGGGAGGAAAGTGTGGTATTTATGGTTCCAATTGCACAGAATGGATAATCAGCATGGAGGCATGTAATGCTCATGGCTTGTACTGTGTACCATTATATGATACATTAGGTAACTACTTCAATGGTTCTTCTTATATATCTTTAATTCCAATCAAACCCTTTCTTTTTTTACTGTTATTTCATACATATGTATTATAGGATTGAGGTAATGTAGATTTTAAATGATCTGTTTTATGTAGGTGCTGGTGCAATTGAATTTATCATATGTCATGCTGAGGTTACAATTGCTTTTGTAGAAGAAAAAAAGATTAACGAGGTAATTATTTGCATTCATTAAGATTCTCATTACATTTACATAGGAGGTCATCTATTAGCAATTCTTTCAGGTGTTGTTTTATAGAAATTAAGTTCTTATACACCGTAGAAAACAAAATCTATATATCTTAAAAGATTTATCAACTTATCAGTAACATCTGTTTGTTGGTTCAGTTGTTAAAAACATTTCCGAAAGCTGGAGAACATCTGAAAAGTAAGTTACTTACAGTGTCTATTTTTGGAACATTCGTAAGATATACTAATATTTCTCCACTTCCTCTAGCAATTGTGAGCTTTGGACAATTTACTCCTGAACAAAGGGAACAATTCAGTAAATTTGGTTTGGCAATACATTCATGGGATGAGTTTTTGTCACTGGTAAGTTTTTTTGTTTTTGTTTTTTTTTATATGAGACTGTTTCTGATTATTGTGTGTATGTCTTATTGGGTTGAAGGGTGAAAACAAAAAGTTTGATCTGTCAGTGAAGGACAAAGATGACATTTGTACAATCATGTACACGAGTGGAACAACGGGTGATCCTAAGGGTGTTCTGATTTCCAATAAGAACATAGTCACACTGACAGCTGGCGTCCGGCGTTTGCTAGAGTCTTGTAATGAAGCAGTGAGTTCTATTACTCTATACCCTTTCAGTGAGTGGATTCAACACCTGTTTAGATAATAAGAAAAAATATAAGATTTTGAAATTTTGACTTCGGGAATTACAGTTGACTTCAAGTGATGTGTATCTCTCGTTTCTACCTCTAGCGCATATATTTGATCGGGTGATTGAAGAATGTTTTATATATCATGGGGCTTCAATAGGATTTTGGAGAGGGGTAAGTAAAATGATCTTTTTATATCTCAATAGAATAGATTCATCAAGCTATAAATATATCCAGGATGTTAAATTACTGATTGAAGACATTGGGGAGCTAAAACCTACTATTTTTTGTGCTGTTCCTCGAGTCTTGGAGAGAATTTATTCAGGTATTTATTTTGCCTTCATTCGTAAATTTTCAATATTTGGGAACTGAATTTCACATAACTGATTTCTTTTATTATAATATTAGGTTTGCAGCATAAGGTTTCTTCAGGGAGTTACTTCAAATATAAACTGTTTAATCTCGCCTACTCTTAGTGAGTCTTCCAACAACAAACAATTCTTTATTTTTTGCAAAAAAAGTTATAAATATCTTCATTATCTGCATCGATTAATGATGATATGCAGTAAGTTGCATAACATGAAGGGCGGAAGTAAACATGAAGAGGCATCTATATTGAGTGACAAACTTGTTTTCACTAAGGTCACACGAGACATCAACTCCTTAACATACAATGCAAACGTATGGTGGGGCCCACTCTCATTATCTCCCACATTTCATTTTCCACAGGTCAAGCAAAGTCTAGGTGGCAGGGTCCGCATCATCCTATCTGGCGCTGCTCCACTCGCGCCACATGTGGAAAGCTTTCTCAAAGTGGTTGCATGCTGCCACGTCCTACAAGGATATGGTAGAAACAAATAGATTTTTGGTTTATTATTATATATTTATATGATATGATATGATTAATTAACTATGATAATCCAATCCATGTAGTTTATGATAATTGTTGAAATGGTGCCACGTAGGATTGACGGAAACATGTGCTGGATCATTTGTGTCGCTGCCAAATCAGATGAGCATGGTGGGAACGGTGGGCCCGCCAGTACCAAACCTGGATGCCCGTTTGGAGTCTGTTCCTGAAATGAATTATGATGCTGTTTCAAGTATGCCGCCACGTGGAGAGATATGCATAAGGGGAGATACTTTGTTTTTGGGGTACCATAAACGTCAAGACCTCACAAAAGAGGTCTTGATTGATGGCTGGTTTCATACAGGTAACGCATCCGACTATAGATTTAATATTACTTTGATTAGAGACCAATCAAAAATAAAGTTAATCATAAAAAATGACCTTATCTTAAACATGTATCACAAAAGAAGTATTTATTTTACACACACCAAAAAAAAAAAAAAAACCCATAGCAGAATTGTTTTTTAAGTGGTCTCCACTCCACCATCATATTTTGTGAATTTGTTTTTTTCTTTTGCGAAATTCGGATTTTCAGTCTTTTTTCATGAAAAAATGTTATTTTCATGAAATTAAAAAAAAAAAAAATCTTGAAATTGGCTAACATAAATCTTTCTTGAAAATATAAATAAAACTGGTTATGGTGTTTGGCTAAATTTAATGTGAAAATTATTGGTCTTAAGCTTAAGAAGACAAACACCTTAACAGATTTTAATGTAACTATGTTTGCTTACATTTCAAATGTATACTGATTTTACCTAATTTTGTGGGGTTTTTTTCTCCATGAAATGATACGCTTTCTGCGTTTCATGGAACGCTTTCTGCGAAAAGTTATGTAATTTTTCATGAAATATGATGTCAGAAAAGGTAATTTTGTGAATTAACGACCGTTTTCAGTGAAATAACAGTTTTTTCACGAAAGAATATTATTTTTTTGTGAAAAACTGGTCATTTCCACAAGAAAAAAAAATCGCAAAATATGATGTTAGGAAAAAGTAATTTACCTAATTAGAAAACCTTTCTTTTTGCAAGATAGATAGATGGTCATCTAGTGATAAATGTTGAAAATATGGTCAATTTTTGATATTTAACTTCCTATTTGTTGTCAATTGTGTGATTAATTAACTCTAAAAAAACATGTGATTTGATTTGAGCATGCATGCCATGTTTTAGGTGATATTGGTGAGTGGCAACCAGATGGAAGCATGAAAGTAATCGACCGCAAGAAAAACATTTTTAAGCTGTCACAAGGAGAATATGTGGCTGTTGAAAACTTGGAGAACATTTATGGACTTGTTCCTGCTGTTGATGAGGTATTTATTTTTTTTATTTTGTTTGCTATACTATATCATTATCATATGATTTAATTGCGAATTTATATTCACATTTTTGTTTCTAATAATAAAAAATCAGATATGGGTGTATGGGAATAGCTTTGAGTCGTATCTTGTTGCTGTTGTAATCCCAAATAAACATGCTGTTGAAAACTGGGCGTCTGGGAATAATTTATCAGAGGATTTTACTTCTTTATGTGGAAATCCCAAGGCTAAAGATTATATACTGGGAGAGCTTAATAGAATTGGAAAAGAGAAAAAGGTTTGTCTTGTCCTCTACTCTATTTATTTTAAGCTTCATTATTTATATATTAACTATTATTAAGAAAAAAAAAACTACTATTTTTATTTTTATTTTTATTTAATTTTGCAGTTAAAAGGGTTTGAATTTATTAAGGCTGTACACCTTGAGCCTGTACCTTTTGACATGGATCGTGACCTTTTGACCCCAACTTTTAAGAAGAAACGTCCCCAGTTGCTTAAATATTATCAGGTATGTAATCGTACACAACAATTTTTAGCCATACACAACAAATTATGTTTTATACAGTTGTACGGTACAACCATCTAAAGCATAAATTATTGAAATTATTGTGTATGGCTAAACACCACCCATACAACTACGTGTTTTATTTATTATTTGCTGATGTCATTCAGACTCAGTTAATTATAGAATAATATGATATAGGTTATTCTTCATCTTATAGCATGATACAACTTTAACTAATTGTATAGGTAATTGTTTATTCTAAGAAGCAATGATTTTGGAAGAAAAATCGACTGTAAAATAACATGTCAAACTATTCTAGCTATCCATTTAGGCAATAATATACTTTATATTATAGCAACTTAATTACATGTTCCTCAATAATGGCAATATCTAACCTCAAACTTTTGACATGCTTACTTACAACTCTATTATCAGTAAAAAAAAATGAAAGTATGTTGCTATTATGTGTAAAATATAGCACATTCTAAAAAATAAGAGTATGTTTGCTATTATGGGTAATATGTTGCTACTGTGCTTAAAATATAAAGTACACTACTGCCTACATTGACAGCTCAAGTAAAGTACATAAGAGATGATTTTATTGTATAAGGTACAAAATGTTATTTAATTATATGACTGATCTTTGTTGGCAGAGTACCATTGATGATATGTACAAGAGCCTTAATAACAAGTGAAGTGAAGTTTGGGCTTTTCCCTTTTCCTTAAAGTTAAAGGGTTTCCTTCCTATTTATTTAAATAACATATCCCTTTCTTTGTATTTTGCTATTCTTTTGACATAATGTTTATGAAAACAATTTCATGGATCTTTGTTTATTTTATTAATTTATATCTAATTAAACATGTAATTAATTATTCCATCTTTATTTTTCTCAGAATCTTAATAATTACTAATCGCTTGCTTGAAGGTCTGTCCTAACCGATGTTAACCCAGATCCCTTAACTTAAAAAGGGTCTGATTTGATTTGGCAATCTCCAGTTGATCCTAACATTTTTGCTTAAATAGTTAAATCAAATTTTAAAATATCTTTCTAAAATTCTATTTTACAATGAATAAAAATTTAAAACATAAATATGCAATGCAATTTAGTTTACATTATATATATATATATATATATATATATATATATTATATATATATATATATATATAGCTAACAAAAGGATTAAATAGTATATACAGAAATCATTCATTTAGACCTATAATCACGCTTTTGACATGGCATACCCAGATTTTTCAATAAAAACCTATCAGCCAACAACTTTAAAAATCAGATTAGTGAACAAATTGGATTATACATCAAAACATATAATTTTGTACATGTCCAACTCCTTTAAGAAAATTTTGAACTTGTGTAAATAATATATGGTCAGATATGAAACACGATCCACATCAACTAATCAATAATAACGATCAACAAATTAAAAGAACAATACCTCAATGTCTTTATGAAAAACAACAGACCAACCTTCTCATAGGAACATAATACTCTTCGCATTTGTTTACTTTTTTGACAAAAAAAAAGCTTTTATTATGCTTACAAACTTAAAAAGGATTTTCTTTGTTTCAACATATACAATAATATTTTTCTACTCGGGTGACATTGACATACCTGAACCACTGGGAGGAACAATTGCCATGGATGCAAACTGCATTGATAGTAATTCTGCTCTGCTATATTTCAACCTCTCATCTGTCATACATTTCATATTTAAAGAAAATTACAAATAAAAATCAACAGTTTCCAAGTCTACAATATCAACTTAAAAATCATACCTATAATGGCAGACATTTCATATTTAAGTGGTGATGATGAAAATCTTCTCCTCACACTTGTTTGCAAAGGTGATGTATGTTTCGCTTCTTCAAAATCACACACAAGTTCATGCCTTATTTTAATTCCAGGATGCCTCTCAACAAATGGAAATATAACATCGTTGGTCAACAGCCAACATCCCGTCAAATCCAGTGATTTTAGAAATGGTGGAGGGTTAAAGCAGTCAATTCCCGCGTTTGTTAAAATCGCATCTCGAATGCTCAGAGTTTTTAACTTTGTGACAGATGTCAAATACTGCAACGAGACATCTGTCAAAAAACTGCTTCTAAGAGACAAATGGCTAAGTTTTTTAAAGTTTGAAATCGAGCCCACTCCTTCATCCTTAAGTGGGGTTTCTTCAAGATTTAATTTTTCCAAATTCTTGAGGTTTCCAAGAACTTCCAATGAGGAGTCGACACCTGTCACATATGTAGCCTTTATGTCAATAGCTTTCAGTGAAGGTATCATGGCAATGTATGAGATAGCAAGATCATCGATAGGTGTGTAGGACAATGATATAGTCTCAAGTTTGGGAACATGTCCAGCAAGGATTCCAACTCCTGCTGATGTCACTCTCGTATTGCTGAGATTCAAAGTTTCCAAATTTGCCCCGACAGATGCGATAAATTCAACCGAATCATCCCCAATTAAGTTCCCACTCAGATCTAAATTTTCTAGGGCTTTCATGGATAGCAAAAAAGATAGGTCGCGAAGAGAGGAGTTTGATAAGTCTACAAAAGATAGACAGATGGGATCGAAATATGAAAAGGCTTTTGTAACATCTTTAAATGAAGTTCCCGAAAGAATTAACTTTTTTAATGTCGCCTTATTGTCATTGTCATTGAATCCTCCTTTAAAGATAGAATGTATATTACAATTGCTCATGTTTAGGCATGTAATGGAGGGCAAATTTAGCAATACTGTCACTTTTGTCCACGCGAGATTTAGAAAGTTTAGATTTGGGAATTTGACAAGAATAGATGCGCCTTCGTTTGTTACATCACTTCCCCATATATCAAGGTGTTGTAAATTTGTCAAAACCTAAAAAGATGAATGATAATTTGTCAAAACCTTAAAAGGGTAACTTTCAATTTGGTTAATTTTTTAGTGAAGAAAGGAAAAGAATACCCGAAGAGATACAAGGGCAGTATCGGTAATAAACAAGCCTCCCAATTCCAACTTGGATAATTTTTTGAGTGATGAGAGAAGTGTGACACCATTTGTGGTGACGCTTGTTTCTGATATGCATAACGTTTCAATGGTTCGAATGGAGAGAAGATGTTTAATGCCAGCATCATTGACTTTAGAGCATCTAGAAAGATCCACCTCCTTTAAATGATTCATACCTGAAGCAAGATACAAAACATGAAAGAGTGTATTAATGAAACAACAGGTTTTAAAAAAAAAAAAAAAAAAAGGCAAAAGAAAGAACGTATATTGCATATTACCTGAGAGAGACCAAAGTGCAGAACTGTTGATTCTATGACATTCGGAAACATTTAAAGAGTACAAGAAGTGAAAGGCACCAAGATATGCCATCCATTCTGCATCAACAGAGCTTTCACCTCTCAGATCAACCTTCTCTACATTGTATTTGAACACTCTACACATGACATTGAAAACGACATAAATCAATAAGTTCAATAGGTTTGAGTTTGGACTTCCGAGTAACATAAACTTGAGAATGAAGAGCACCAAAAGACAATACAGAGAACAAGTAGTGAAGGACTTGTTAGCACTTGCCATCATTGATTCTCTCCTTCACTCTCAAAATCAAGCATGATCTCCTGTAATTAGTTCATAATCTTGCTACACTCACTGGAGAAAGATCGGTTTTATGCGTCGTGACTTGCCATGTTCAACAACTTACAAGAGTAAATAAGTGCAGGCGTTTCAGTATTACGAAAGATACAATGTAATAGAACTTGCTTCCAACAATATTTTCAATAGATATCATACTAAAACTATACGGATCATTAGTCTATTGTGGATCTAAGATTCTAAATACGCATATATCTTCAAATCAAATAACGATTTCAGCATAACTATATTCCTACTTAACTTCGCTTAATATCGAATACTAATGGCGTCTATTTGTTACAAAGACATATAATAAGAAATTTAGAGGGCAGAATGCTACAAAGTGATCGAGAAACTTACTCGAGAAGAGATGGATATAGGAGGCGGCGGCTGAGAAGCCGGTGGAGTAAAGCTTCAGCGAGTTGAGATGGCAAGCGTTCGAGCGTCCGACGCTGTCTCCGCCACATCTCTACGGCGTCTGCGCTTTGTGTTGCCGCTTCGATGCACCGACGAACAAGAGGACTCTCCAGTTCTCCTCCTGCTTCTATAACCAAACTATGATCCGCCATTTTCACTAAATTGAATTTTTCTTTTGATCTCGGACAGACTTCCTATTACGTATCTGTCTGTTTGTAAGGACTTAGGACGATTAGATCAAAAACCAGATTGGGGAAGACGACCGACTATTTTATCTTCGCTCGGTAAGAAATGGAATTACGAATTAGTTATACACGGCAGCGATTTTTTTGTTATGAAAAACAGGTTTCATTTTTAGTTTTTAGTTTTTTCTTTTTCGTTTTTGTTTTATCATTTTTATTGGAAAATTTAGAAAACGCGTTTAGTTAAAACTTATTCATTTTTAATTTTCAGTTTTAAAAAATTAAAAAACGCGTTTAGATGTGTATATTTCTGTCGGTTTTCATTTTTAGAAAACGGTAACGTTGATAGGTTGGAGGTGGGGCAGCGGCGGGGGGAAGTGGTGGTGTCGATGATGGCGACGGTGGTAGTGGCGGTGGTGTGGTGATGACAGGCGGTGGTGGTGGCGGCAGCAATTGTGACAGAGGTGGTGATGGTGGCAGCGGTGGTGGTGATGTTGGTGATGGGGTAGTGGTGGTGGTGATGGTGATGGTAGGTTGGTGATTGTGGTAGTGGTGTTGGGTGGGTGTGTGTGTGTGTGTGTGTGTTCGTGTTCGTAGGGTGTGGGTGGGGGTGGGGTTGGGGTGGATGTCTGTTTGTGTGGGTGTGTGTGTGTTTTGTGGGGATGGGGGTGTGGGTGTTTTGTGGGGGTGGGGGTGTGTATGTGTGTTTGTGGGGCTGGGTATGGGTGTGTGTGTGTGTTGTGTTTTGTGGGGGTGGGGTGGGTGGGTGTGGGTGTGTGTTTGTGGTTGTGTGTGTGTGTTTGTGGGGGTGTGGGTGTAGGTGGGGGTTGGGGTAGGTGTGTGTTTGTGGGAGTGGGTAGGTGTGTGTGTGTATGTGTTTGTGGGGGTGGGGTTGGGAGTAGGTGGGTGTGGGTAGGTAGGGGTGTGGTGGGTTAGGGGTGTTAAGGTGGGGGTAGGTAGAGGTGAGAGTGTGTGTGTGTGTGTTGTGTGTCTCTTTTAAAAAATCGCCTTAGCCCCTGTGGCAATGCTTATTGATTTTCCATTTCCCCCTTCTTTGTCCTTTTCCCCCCCGGCCCCTTTTCATTTTCCGTGAAAAATTTAGAAAAATTGACGAACTAAACGCGTTTTCAAAATTCTCATTTTTCTTGAGAAATTTTTCTGGAAAACGGCCCATTTTTCCGCAACTAAACTCACCCTAAGGTTGTGTTTAGTTACGGAAAAACAGTTTTCATTTTCCGTTTTTTATTTTCTCTTTTCAGTTTTCGTTTTTCGTTTTCAATTTTCATTGGAACATTTAGAAAACGCGTTTAGTTAAAACTTATTCATTTTTCATTTTTAGTTTTAGAAAATTAGAAAACGCGTTTAGATGTGTATATTTCTATCCGTTTTCATTTTTGGAAAACGGTGTAGGGTGGAGGCAGTGGTGGTGTCAATGATGGCGACGATGGTGGTGGCGGGGGTGGTGGTGAAGACAGGCGGTGATGGTGGCGACGGCAATTGTGGCAGAGGTGGTGATGGCGGTGGTGGTGGTGATGTTTGGTGATGGGGTAGTAGTGGTGGTGATGGTAGGTCGGTGATTGTGGTA